ATATCAGATTTTCTCACCCTCCTTTGCTTTGTAATACAGTTTATATGCGTTGGTTCTGCCACCAAAGAGCGCATCTCTTGGTTTCAACCTTTCAGGTGGTGTGTAGTTAGACATGAACGTGGCTACACCCAAATCATCCCTCTTAGCTTTGGCCCACTCACATTCCCACATTACTTCTACATCTAGCTCATATGCTCGAACAAGGATCTCTACCTTGGTGTTAAACTGTTTTTGCAATTCGCCGTACAACACCTTTGACATCGTATGAGGCTGGTTCGGACTGTAACGACATTCATGACCATGATGCATACACCAGTTAAATTCTAAGGCTTTTCGTACACCACCCTTTTCATAATACCCATCTACATAATACACACCAAACTTCATTTCATCATGAGTTAGGGCGTGGTGCACATCAACACCTCTGGTTCTCTTAACATACTCAAGCCATTCAATTGAAACATTTGAGAACGTCTTGTGTTGGTTAATGTACGCGTTGTTGTGTGTCAATGCTAGTGTATCTTTGGGTAGAAAATATGTCTTGTACACAGCCATGCAACATGATGCTAATGTTGTATAATTAAATGGGTCTAGCTTTGTACACTGAATGAACTTGTCACGATACTTAATGCAAGCTTCACGAAGTAAAACAACATCGTTCCTGCCATAAACATACAACTCCTTTTTGAAATCAAACACACCACCAGAGACTGTGCTGTACCACTCATCAAACTGCTCTCTGTCCTTGTCACTCATCGAGTCATAGCCGTAAAAACTCTTGTCGGGGAATGGGCCCACATAGTTCTCATTTTGTGTCAAATTAAATTTGTGTGGAAAATACCCCTTCTCTGAACATGTTAGATTTAACGCTGATGCTGTATCAGCCAAACGCATTGGAATGAACGAGTATGAGTCTATGTAGCGCTGTTTGTACAATTCGTCATACATGGAGATGAGTCTACACCCCATCATGGTGATTTTGACAGCAATGCCCGCTTTACAAAAATATTCTAGTAATAGGAAACTGGCTGCATTGTGTGCTAACCATGTGTAACCCTGATATTTGGGGCTTCTAAACTCTCTGAGGAGTCGTTCTACACAGTCAGACCCTTCTGCTGTGAACTCTCTACCGTCAAATGTGATTGCGCAGACAAAGTTAGCTTCATGCTTACCGTTTTCAAACCGTGTCTCAAAGTCAAAGAAGATGTGAGACTCACTTGGTTCTTCTAATTTAATTGGCTGTATGTAACATTCATGTGTTGTATCTGATATTAATTCTTCAAGGCAGTGAATACAACATCCTGACATACACTTGTGGGGTTTTGGTTTAGTTAAACTAACATGATAACGTCGACCGCATGATCTACAGTATTTAGTCAAATCGCATGAGGACGCCATCTCCCCAGTAATAGGTTGTTGTTTCTTTTTCTTGTGTTGGTCATAACAATAGTCAGATTTACAGTAGTGTGAACAGTCATCACAATATTTGACACGTTTGGGTTTCTGGCTGCATTCTGTGTCCTGACACACATCCCAATGATATTTACAACTATGATCCCACGCATTAGTGTACCCCTTATAACAAAACTTGCAAACATACGGTACACCCATGAACGCTTTCAAATTCTTTACCAAATAATAATGGCCATCATGGAGATACAGAAACACAGTCCTGGCATGTGGTTTGTCTTTCGTTTGGTACTTCTCTAAACCACCCGAACAACACAACTATTTTAACACCAAACTTGAATTCGAAACGACCAATGTCATTAAACCCGACCTTGTGATCACGCATGTAACCAGCCTTTGCCTGTATCTGATCGGCTATAGTTTCTAACGTGTTATGTGGCGCATGTGGGTTCAGAAAATGAGCAAGACAGATCGCAAAACACAGATTATTTGAAATGTTTGTTGGACAAAAGAGATTCATTCTGTTCCTATCAATCACCTGATTGTGCGCGAGGTCACACACCTTACGCCGAACACCGCCATTTTTACTCATATCTATGGAGACTGTCAACACCAAACTATTGTCTGTTGTAATGTACTTGTTACTCTGCATAACCCTTTCAATTGCATCTGCAAACCTGTCAACGTTGTAACCATCTCTTGAAGACAACAAAGCATTTACATCAGATGTTAAACTACCACCTCTTAGGGTTATGTTGATTACACTACCATCACCAGCCATCACCCTGGAGAACGATACAATGTCTGATAGCATATTGTGTACATAGACAGTGTATGAGGCCATGTCTGTGGATGGAGCATCACGTAAATTCAGCGTTCTGTGTGGCACAACACTATTAAACCTATTTCTCTGCACTACAGTGTATCCACTTATTTCACCACCATTTCTCACCAACTGAACCACGTCATTACTAGATAAACCAAAGTTAGGAGCTGTTGGATCGAGTGTAGGAAAACTATGTGTCTGCAGACCGGTGCCTGTCTGTTCTCTGTTTAGGTGTAGCAAATTATTTTGCACCGGGTTTTCTAAGAACGTTAAAGCTGACTCATACTCATCATTTAAGCATAGCAGTCATTCACTAATAGATGTCTGCTCCCAAGCATCGGTTATGGCAGTATTATACATAAAATCTATGGAATGTCCATAATTATCACCGCATCTACGACGTGTTGTTTGCGGGCTGTGTATTGCGTCGTTTTTATTTGAGAACCATTTATCCAATGTGGTCTGTAAACCATCAGGTGCGATATAATCATTAACATTTGCGTTGTATTGATTGTATGTGTTTTTCAGATTAATACCAGTAGGTCGCTAACACACGGATTGTTGCCTGACTCCTGACACCTTTTAGACCCCATTATGTTTGTTTGTTTCTTTGTTTTACTAATAATTATTTAAACAATAATTTATGACGCGCTGATGATGTGGTTTGTTTAACCGCTTACCCGACGTTCGTGCTCCTGATTCGGTTTGAAACCCTCTCCATCAATGTCTCTCACGTCTTCCGATATTGGATTTAGTCCAGTATTAATTGGTCCAGTATCCTCGGCCTCATCCGGCTTTTCTGTGAAACTGTTCTGGTCCCACGTATTCAAAAGCTCCTCAGTCCAGACGACAGTGTCAACCTCCGAAACCGCTCCTGTCCGCGCCACATCACCACATGCAGTATGGTCACCGGTGTGCAAATCTGTAAACAGTTTAAGAAAAAACATTTACACACAACCGTTAATGTTAAAAATAACGTTGTAAAAAGTGCTCACTTTAATTAGTATTTTCTTACCCACAGATTTGTAGCTATCATCAAGCCTAAGTCATTTCCCACGTGAAACTGACCCGTTGTTAGTGCTCAAACATATCCTTGGACGTTTTCCGCGGGAAACAGAGCTATCATCGGCAGTTTGACTCCTTCCATTCTGTGGCGGACCCCCAGGACTGCTTGTTAAACAAGTCTTAAACATCGACAAAGCGCAGAGGTAATACAACACACACACAACAATGCTGTCGTCGGTATATAGGGCGAATGCAATAATGTATATAGGGTCTTTGCGAGCCGTTTTTATACACCATTTACTCAAGGCACTCCCCTTACTATGACCTGTTGAATACCTTTGTGTTTGATTGGTTTGGTTGGGTAGCCATAATGATGGTATCATATGAGACACACCCTCCCAAGCTGATCCGCCCACCCGACACACACACAATGCCTTCTTACCAGTTTTAAAGATGAAATTAGGCCTAAAAGTGTGTTAAACACTATTTTAAAAAAACCTCTATATGGTCTTACAAGTTTTAAAGTTTAAAGTTGCAATTAGGTCTAAAAGTGTATTAAACACTTTTTAAAACTTCTATCACACACACACACACACACACACACACACACACACAGGCTTGCTGGAACTTAATATTTGTTTCCAAAGCTAAATTCCGAAAAGGGTATTTCTTTTTTAATTGCTTCTAAGCCCCTGAACAGATCATCAATCTTATGGAAGAACCTTGTAGCATCATCCACTGACAAAACCCAAATAAAATTCAGAATCTCTCCAGTTGATTCTGCGCATGGTTTGTTGTGTTTTGCTTGTGTAAGTAACTGAAAACCTTATTGTAGCCTTTAGAAGTACAATTAGACTTTTATTCTATACACGTAAGAGTGACTCTCCTATCTTTACCCAGTGTGGACGTTGTCGTGTGACCAAAAGTCACTCATTCGTGTTTCCAGTCAATTTCTTCGGGTGTGAGAATGAATAGTGTAACAGCCTCTTTTTCATAGTTAAAACCGACAACACGATCTTTGGACAAATACCAACCTGGTCGCACTCCGGAATCTTATTTCTAGTACACTCCGGAATCTTATTATTGTACACACAGCCAGAGCAATCATTAACAAAAAGAAAAATAAGAAAAAACTAGCAAAGCAAATAGTTTCAATACGACTAAATAAATATTTCAAAATGAATTGTGTTTTTAAGATCTAGACTTTCTGGCACTTTTAACACATTTTGGAGACATACTGATAACAACGATTTAACCCCCCACACACCACCCTAAAACCCCTTTGGTTTTTATTCGTCTAGACATTCTGGCGCTTTTAACACGCTGGACACACACACAACACACATAGCTAAGAATCCACAATCAAACTACAAACAGTGAAAACCTACATGAAATGGTTCAACATTCACACCTGGGGTGAGGGGGTGTCGTAAAACACCCAACCCCAGGCAGACCTGTCGCTCAAACTGACCTGTCACAGAGAGGGGGGGGGGGTCATAAATCGGACTGTCACAGAGGGGTCATAAAAATGACCTGGCAATCAAAACTGGCATGCCTGTCACACAGGGTCATAAATCAGGTCATAAATCATACACTGAAAAACAGTGTAGGATACATACTACTGTGCTAGTAAGAGGTGTACCATCATTGATTAGTCTTACATTCTCTTGCTACACATGCAGTTTAATTATTCTTTCTCTCTGATTCTGTGTATCACTGTGTAGAAATCTCTCTTTTCTGCCTTCTGTTATGCAGTCAGTGTGAGATTGGTGGATGGTGGCAGTCGCTGTGCTGGGAGAGTGGAGGTTCTTCATAGAGGACAGTGGGGAACAGTGTGTGATGATGGCTGGGATATGAGAGATGCTGCAGTGGTGTGTAGAGAGCTGGGCTGTGGAGAACCTGTAGCTGCGCTGAGTAAGGCTCACTTTGGACCAGGATCAGGAATAATATGGATGAATGATGTGGACTGTAGTGGATCAGAGGCCACAGTAAAAAACTGTAAATCAGCAGGATGGAGTAGAAATGATTGTGTTCATTCTAATGATGCTGGGGTCATTTGTTCAGGTATGTTTTTCTAAATTTCAGTATTCTATTAATTTAGATAAAAATTTGCCATTCACATTTCTTTTCATAGCTTTTAATTTTGTTAACATAATCATTACAAGTTCATTAATAACAAATAATTTAGCCTTTTTTGTCTTTCAAACTTGATTATTTGTACTTTTTCTCTTCGGAGACATGCATGCTGTCATGGCAGAGTTATAAAATTAATATATTTGTATCTGGAAAAAAGCTGAACTGTCATTTTTATAAAGTCATTATGTTTCAACAAAATTCTATCAGAAGTCAAGCTACTTGGTGGTTCTCGCTGCTCTGGGAGAGTGGAGGTGCTTCATGGAGAGACCTGGTCCACAGTGTGTGATACTCGCTTTGACCAGCAGGATGCAGAGGTTGTGTGTCGAGAGCTGGGCTGTGGGCTTCCTGTGGAGGTGCTGGGAGCAGCTGCTTTTGGCAGAGGGGAGGGTCAGGTGTGGTCAGAGGAGCTTCGGTGTAGAGGCAATGAATCTCAGGTTTACTTCTGTCCAACATTACCTTCACTCAAACACAACTGCTCCCATGACAGTGATGTGGGTCTGGTGTGTGCTGGTAAGATGCAGATCTACTTAATTTAGTCTTACATGCTTATATTAATGTACTACATGTTATACTGAACATATTTCTCCCCCCCAACCCTTATGTACAGTCAGTGTGAGGTTGGTGGATGGTGGCATTTGCTGTGATGGGAGAGTGGAGGTTCTTCATAGAGGACAGTGGGGAACAGTGTGTGATGATGACTGGGATATGAGAGATGCTGCAGTGGTGTGTAGAGAGCTGCGTTGTGGAGATGCTGTAGATGCACTGAGTGATGCTCACTTTCGACCAGGATCAGGACCAATCTGGATGAATAATGTGGACTGTAGTGGGTCAGAATCTACACTGAAGAACTGTGTATCAGCAGGATGGGGAAAACAGAACTGTAATCATTCTAAAGATGCTGGAGTCGTCTGTTCAGGTACGCTTTTCTGAAATTCAGTAACCAATTTAGTCATATTAACTTCGCCATTCAAATTTAAATTAACAGCCATTAATTACGATACTTTTAAATCAAAATCATTAGCATTTCAGAAATTGTTGTTGAATTTTAACACTAGAATTTCTTAAAACCTTCAAAAACAATTTATCATGCATATTTTTGTCTTTAGAACCATGTATTTTCTAGGAAAAATAATGCAAAGCTTTTGAACATTTTATAATTTTTATATTAATTGTGTTATATCACTTATAAAAAAACGACATCATCTCTATATTCAAAATGTATTAGTAGTCAGACTGTTTGGTGCAGGGCTGGATAGTAATGGAATAGAAGTTACGGTGTTACCTGATCAGGATTAGAAAGAATTCGTAACTATAATCCGTTACAGTTACAGTAAACAAAGCAGTGATCAGATTACAGGTACATTATTAAAACAAAGTGATTACCAGCAGAATTACATTTAAAAGCGAACTCGTCATCTTTCACCCAAATTCACTGTTTTAACGATAACTATGTCACAGGAGTCGTGTAGATTTATAGAGTCTTTAATTTGGGGGGTAATGGATGGTCGTGCTGCCAGAAGAGAATTCTGAAGAATCTCCCTCACAGCAGCAGTTCATGTTTTTTTTTATTATTCAGCCAATCTGTTGAGATTTTAGTAAGTATTTTATTTTTATTATCAGAACTGAGATCTGCTGTGTTTTACTGAAGATTTCTGAATCAGTCATGTACCCTGATTTTCCACATCACCAGATTCTACAGCATCGGACTGATCTGATCTGACAGTAAACTCTACAGTAAAATCTACAGTTTAAATGTTACTATAAATACAATTTTTGAAAACCTTAACCTGACAGGTTTTAACTAACAGTCTGAAAAGTTAAGTCAGGTCTCATGGGTGCCATAGTTTCATTTTTATGTGTACATAAGGCTTCATGTTAGAGCGTCATGCTAGACTGAAGAATAGCATGACGCTCCAACATGAAGCCTTATGAGCCAGTGCAGCATTTTAGCAGATAGAACACAAATAATGGTCAGTCAGAGCTTTTAGAATTGACTCTATTTATACTTATTGTTAATAAGAGGTCTTAAAACACAGTTTCTACCAGATTGATCTTTTGATTTTGGCATAAAAACCACAGATTTATAATAAATCAGGTAAAAAAGTAAAAGTCCCAAGAGGGCAGTAGAGTTTTTAACTATATTGCATTTGATCCAGTGTACAGGATCATTCTACACTGATTACTTTTCCCCTGTGTTTCTGTCTAAGAGCTTTTAGTCACAGTGCATCCATTTAATTTTTTTTTAACTTTTTTTTTTGTTTGTTTTTGTTTTTTGATATTTTTCCAGAGGAGCAAAGCTTGACTTAACTTCAAGGTTTGAGTGTACATTTTTACAGTTTTACAAATTTGTCATCTTTATGTTTGAATTGGTTCCATGTTTTGCTTCTGGTAAATTTTACAGTTTCGCTAAATGTAAGATCAGGGACCATTTTTGTGAGGCATAATATTTAAGACACTAAAAATCTCTCATTCTGTCTCATAAATGAGTGACGTTTCTTTCTTTTGTGTGTTTAAGTTAAATTCTTTTTTAAAAAGTCTTATGTCATTATTTTTCTCTTTTCTTTATTTAATTATACATCTTTAATTAAGGAGAAGTAATCCAAAAGTAACTGAAAGTAATTGGATTACATTTACTTTAATATAGTAGTGCTTTTAATTAGGTTACACTTCTGAATAAGTAATCGGATCTGTAACAGAATATATTTTTGAAGTAACCCTCCCAAATCTGATTAGGAGTCAGGCTGGTTGGTGGTTCTCACTGCTCTGGGAGAGTGGAGGTGCTTCATGGAGAGACCTGGTCCACAGTGTGTGATGCTGACTTTGACCAGCAGGATGCAGAGGTTGTGTGTCGAGAGCTGGGCTGTGGGCTTCCTGTGGAGGTGCTGGGAGCAGCTGCTTTTGGCAGAGGGGAGGGTCAGGTGTGGTCAGAGGAGCTTCAATGTAGAGGCAACGAATCTCAGATTTACTTCTGTCCAACATCATCTTCACTCAAACACAACTGCTCCCATGACAGTGATGTGGGTCTGGTGTGTTCTGGTAAGAGGGGCATTAACATCAATTAATCTTACTCTTATTTAATTTACTAAATGTCATGTTTTAAATACCCCCCAATCCTGTGATACAATTACACAAATAATGAATTCACTCTCCTTTGATTTCTTAATAAGCATTAATGCAATTAAAACTATTTTCTTATTAAGTATGTCTTTGTGTTTTTGAAGCTGAGTGTACTCCTGAAATCTCTCTCTCTCTCTGTCTCTGTTGTACAGTCAGTGTGAGGTTGGTGGATGGTGGCAGTCACTGTGCTGGGAGAGTGGAAGTTTTTCATAGAGGACAGTGGGGAACAGTGTGTGATGATTACTGGGATATGAGAGATGCTGCAGTGGTGTGTAGAGAGCTGCGCTGTGGAGAAGCTGTAGCTGCGCTGAGTAATGCTCACTTTGGACCAGGATCAGGACCAATCTGGATGAATAATGTGGACTGTGGTGGATCAGAGACTACAGTGAAGAACTGTAAATCAGCAGGATGGGGTAAACATCACTGTCATCATAGTTTAAATGCCGGAGTCATCTGCTCAGGTAAGCTGCAGTTAGCCATCCCTTCCCCGAATTAAAATATGCTTAATATCATCATTACCATAATATCTGATACAATTTCCAAAGATTTTGAGTGACATTAACTTGAATCTTTTAAATCATTGGCTCTCAAATGGGGTTCCACTGTGAAAGATGTGAGAGGTGTGAAAAATGGTGATAGTGTAATAAATAATAGTCTAATTTGAAATTAATGCTTTGATCATCCATGTTCTTGACTAGTTTCTAGTGCAAAAGCAATATACTGCCTAACACTTCTCTCAGACAATTTGTCTGCTGTTGACTGCAAAAAAAAATGTAGAAAACTAACAGTGCATAGAAAACACACCATCTTCTGTCTGAAGTGTGCACTAATTTTTTTTAATAAACCTTCCTCTACACATCAACAGCACCAAAATGATATCAAGAGACCTCGTTTACATGACTACTATCTTTCAATCAGTTTGTTTGACTAAGTAGACCATAAGAACAAATTCAGTATGGAGGTTTTAGTCAAACATCTCCTATTAGCAAAAGCAAAGCAGTGAACTTGAATACTTTACATGCTCACAGGTCACAGAAAGTCCAGACTTATTGATGGTTTCCACTTGTGCTCTGGGAGAGTGTAGATACTTCATGGAGAGACCTGGTCCACAGTGTGCGATGCTGACTTCGACCAGCAGAATGCAGAGGTTGTGTGGGAGCAGCTGCTTTTGGCAGAGGGGAGGGTCAGGTTTGGTCAGAGGAGCTTCAGTGTAGAGGCAACGAATCTCACATATATTTCTGTCCAACATCATCTTCACTCAAACACAACTGCTCCCATGACAGTGATGTGGGTCTGGTGTGTGCCGGTAAAATATTAATTTATAATTGAGTTTAATTTTAATGAGATTAATTATTTATAATAATCAGAAGGCTTTGCCACTGCTTGTCACAATAAATGGTGCTGAACTGCCCTCGTGCATGTATATTTCTCTAATGTGATACTGATTCAGGTCACACTCAGGCTCAGCTGGTGAATGGCTCTGACTCCTGTTCTGGTCGAGTGGAGCTCCAGTACCTCAGTGAGTGGGGCACAGTGTGTGATGTAAGCTGGGATATGAGAGCTGCCAGTGTCCTCTGTGGTCAGCTGAATTGTGGGAGTTCTGTGGCTGTGTTGGGGTCAGACTGGTTTGGGGAGGGGAGTGGCCGGATCTGGGCTGATGTGTTTGATTGTCAGGGGAACGAAACCCACCTGTCAAAATGTCCCATTTCATCATGGAGTCGAACTGCATGCTCTCATAAACAGGATGTTGGAATCATCTGCAATGGTGAGATGTACGAATCATAGTGTCCATCTAAAACAATACCTGTTTAGGTGTAAGACACCCTCAGTCAAACAAAAAATTATTTTAGTTCAGTGATATTTTTTCTTCTTCAGGTTCCTCTCTGGCGTTTCATGAGGGGTGAGTGCAGCTCTTTGGAGGGATGGAGTGTGAGGGGGAGGTGGAGGTTTACTTCAGGCCGGACTGGAGGAGAGTTCTGCTGGACTCCTGGAGTGAGTCCGAGGCCTCTGTGGTCTGCAGACAGCTGGGCTGTGGCTCTGTGTTCAGCTTCTCCAGCTCCTCCACATCCAGTCCTGAACACAGTCACATGTGTGTGACGGGTTTCAATTGTTCTGGGAGTGAAGCTCATCTGGGGAACTGCAGCAGCGCACAAGCAGTCAACTGCAGCTCCAGAGAACAGCTCTCAATCACCTGCTCTGATAAAAATTATTGCAGCTAAATATCAAAAGTGGCTAACAAGCATCCTAAAATATCTTTAAAATATAAAATATTTTACCAAAATGTATTTTAATCTTTATTGTTCAAAGTCAAATGATTTTCACAAACTTTCTTCCTTATTCCAAAGGCAAGTGTAATGAGGACCACACAGATATAATGTGTGAATAATTTAACTGCCTTATTTGTGTATGTATGTTTGTGTGGGTGTGTGTGTGTGTGTGTGTGTGTGTGGTGTGTGTGTGTGTGTGCGTGTGTGTGTGTGTGTGTGTGTGTGTGTGTGTGTGTGTGTGTAGGTAAGTTTAAATCAGCTCACAGCTCCATCAGGCTGGTTGGTTCTGGGGGAGACTGTGCAGGAAGGCTGGAGGTTTTCCACAGTGGCTCATGGGGGACAGTGAGTGATGACTTGTGGGATATTAAGGATGCGCAGGTGGTCTGCAGACAGCTGCAGTGTGGAGTGGCCCTCAGTGCTCTGGTACCAGCCCGGTTTGGACGTGGAACTGGACCTATATGGCTGAATGAGGTGGAGTGTGAGGGGAACGAGACGTTCCTGTGGAACTGCAGATTTCAGCTGTGTGGAGAGGATGAATGTGGACAC